GCTTGTTGTAAAATGTTCTTTCTATACTAAATCTTCTGTATAGACCGTTTACAAGATAGATGTATTCCTGATGGAATCTTGTATGCCTTTGGTGAGCCTCACGCCTTTGGTGAGCCTCACTAGCTATTCAGTATCCAAAGAAGGATGGGATATCAAGCTGGACGCCCATATTCTTGAGAAATATTAAATGGACTAACTCAGATGAACACAATATTGTATGATGGTGACATGCATGTCGACTCTTTGGTCTTGGTGATTAGAAGGCATGAAGGACGTGATTGAGCAAGTGAACAAGCAGTTTAAAGATCCAGTAAGACTACTGACCTTGTAGAGACTTACTACTAACCTTGTAGAGACTTACTACTAACCTTGTAGAGAGCCAAATATATTCTATCTAATAAAAATCTAATATGTTTATTATTTGACTTAACCGGCAGTTCTGTACTGCCCCTCATGTGGTTAATGATCAAGGACGACATAGGAAAGTTACCAAAGTTTGTCTGTTTATTTACTTTAATGAATCACTTTCATCACTAGGAAAGTGTTTTGAGGATATTAAGTATTCCTACCTTATCGACCGTGCATATGAAAGCGGCAAAGTGTATGACTTCTTTCCACTATTTTTGCATCCTCTTCTTTTCTTACTTGACTCAATCTAGTCCAGAGGAGACCATTCTAGGAAATAGGGAGACACTCGGCTTTCTTCATCCGGCAATGAGCTGAAACCGATGTCCGCCAATAATGATTAGCTAGGTGAGCTTATTAGTTGTGTGCTCTCCTTAGTGGTGTATGTGGTCTTGTTGGTTCCAGGTCGGCCAGGTGCCCTTCTATGTGGGCATGTTGTAACGCTTTTTGCCTGGGTTTCTGTTAATTAATCGAGCAACTCTATTCTTCCTTGTTTAATGAATCGGGCCCTAAGGAACCGTGTTTCAAAAAATAAAATACTGCCGATGATGTATGGATAGAGAAACTGATGTATCAACGTGTTCAGCCCCTACCATGAGTGCTCTGAGTACTGTATTAAGAAGAAAGAAAGTAGGCACCACCTTCTTCCTTTTCATTTGTAATTTTAAAAACAATCGGAGATGTCTGTGTATGGTCTGTTCGGTTAACTTCCTGTTAGCATCGGAGTGTTAAACTAATACAAGTCATGTTGGTATTATCAGTTGTTTGGCAATTGTAATGTGTAATGTATACATGGTTTAAATATCAAGATTTCATGAAATTATGTTCTCCATTTGCTAAAAAATATTAAGAACTAAGGTTTTAATTATAGTTCGATTCATTGTGTTGTTTGAAGTAGTAGGTACTTATCACATTTTTAAAGCCTTTTTCACGTAAAGAATTCACTAAGCAGCTAACATAGTAGGGGTCATAATATGATTTCTTTAGCATTGCTTGATTTAGCTATATGGTTCTCAACTGTTTGCTTGTGCATCGATTATAAACCCTGCTCACGATGGATTTATGAGAAGCAAAGCTGTTAGATAAGTAGTTACTATATTCTGTGTGGGGTACAAAAATAATTTATGTATGCCAATATATCTCATGCTACCAACTTAAGTGTCTGTTTCTACGCTTGGTGACGCCATTTTGATATCCAGTATTGGTTGTGCATTGCAATACTCTCCACTCGGATAGTTTTGTCAACACAGAATTTCAAGCTCTATGATTTGGCAAGAGGATTTGTGTAAGAAATTATGTACATCTTAAAGTTTTGCATCTCAATTTTAGTACTTGTCTTGAACAGGAGGAAGTCTAGAATTTGCTTCAAAGACAGAAGTCGTCAATATAGAAAAGTCAAACATAGACAGAATGAAATCTGGCCGGAGAAGCCGATTGTACCTTTTTCTGAAATCTGGTTGGAGGAGACGATTGTACATTCTTCCCGAGTGCCCAATGTAGATGACTAATGTTGGTGATGCCATTCACTTGCCTCGTTTTTAAAGATCACATGTGCAACACAATGTTGTAAAGGGAATCACGTGGAGTGGGGAGGGGTGTGGTAAGATGGGATTGAAGGAGCACATGAAAATATATATTTTGGTGAGGGTGGAAATTGAATGCATGCTTGGAGAAACATATTTAGAGGAAAGCGAGGGATAGACAAGAACTGTTTGTCACAGCATAGTCCTAAGCATGTGATTTATACACTGCATATACTGATATTTTGATATATGTTTTTATAGATAAGTTTTTTGCTTCATGGCATATACTGGCATTTTCATATATGTTTTCATAGATAAGTTTGTTGTTCATGGCAACACATACGCATTCAACTAGATTTAGCTTAATTCCTTATATTAGGAATAGATCTTGAAGGTGATGTGGTCAGATTGTTTTTGTATCATTTTGGACAACAAAACAACGACATGAAAGCTACATGTAAAGTAAAAAATATATGAAACTCAAACCTAGGTGGGAAGTCAAGGGGCAATAGATTGAGAGGATGAATGATGTCTAGACAGAGGAGGTGATGGACAACAAGTTCGGTGGAAAAGAGCGGCTAGAGGGATGTGTGATATTTGTAAGAATAGAGAGAAGATGCTTGCAATTATGGTATGGTTGAACATTATGTGCACATGCAATGTGCTCATTGGTGGGGAGGAAAATGATCATTGTTTACAAATTCATTTGTTGGCCCGTGGCACAATGATATATATGGGAGAGGATAAAGATATATATGCCACTTTGTATTCTTGCAAAGAAAGGGCGGTTAAGTAGACACAATGATCACCAAGGAGGAAATGAATGGGAGATATGAGGTCTCGAGACAATGTCATTGAAAGAGGCCGAAAATTCATCGAGTTTTATACAACAATTAGGAAAAAATTATAAAGCCCGTGGCAACGCACAGGCGTTCTACTAGTCCATATTGTTATGCACTAGCGTGTGTGTGAAATAGATGGATTATGGTCCCGTACCCAATAAGATGGATATGTGTGTATGTGTGTTAGAGAGAGGGGGGAGGGGAGAGAGAGTGAGGAAGAGGGAGGGAGAGAGTGTGTGTGTGATGATTTGATGATAAAAAGGTCGCTAATATCACTTAATATATATGAAAATATTAATATTGAACTCTTAAAGTTAATGTGGTCCCGTTGCGACGCACGGGCGTTCTTCTAGTAGACATGATTAAGGAGCTGATTAGCTCTGTAGTGGGGCACAAGGTGCTTCGGGTATGGTGGTCAACAAACAATATGGTGCACATCTACTTCCTCCGTCCCATAATATAAGAATGTTTTTGACACTAGTGTAGTGTCAAAAACGTTCTTATATTATGGACAGAGGAAGTATTTTTTTTACCAGAAACACTTTCCATTCCAAAATTACGGTGGATAGACTAAATCGGCGGTCACAACAACCGGTTACAACTAGCGGAAAGTTCGGCGACCATAAAGTGTGGTGCACATCTTAGCTAAGGAAGATTGTGAGTATAAGCTTTGTAAAACATGGTTGCATGCATGTTGGATGTATTTAGAAAAAAGAATAGAACAAGGGAAAAATTCTCTTACGTTTCTGCGTCACACTGCATAAACCAGATTGATGGGATGTGGGCCAAGCATACGACCCATTAATCCCCCGTAATTGTTGTGCTCTCTTATTATGTTTTGCAGTGTGGATTTTGTGACGCTGTGGGCATCCCACATCCTTTTTTTGCATGGTATATGTGCCTCATTTTATATCATAAATTTTATAGTACAAGCCATATAAACATCGACCTGACAAATCTAAAATGACAGTAAAACGCTAACCTTTGAAAAAAACATAAATCAAGAAAGAAAAATACAATTCAAAACTGGTTTTCCAGTAGCCCCGGAGCGGCCACGGGCCGGAGTGGAACTAAGGTTTTAATTTAGAACAACAGTTATTTCCGGGGTTTAAAGTGTTGTAACAAAACTGGTCCTAGGACCCGCACCACACCCTTTGTATTTTTCTCCATTGCTTTCTGCTTATCAATGAAATGCCAGTATGACGCTGGATCTTTCAAAAAAAAAACAAGTCAGATGGGGACGATGTGGCATATCTTGTTATCCCATGCTATTAAAAGAAGAGTGGACATGTAAAAATAAAATTATTACTCCCTCTGTCTCAAAATAAGTGTCTTAACCTTGGTACAATTTTGTGCTAAAGTTAATACAAAGTTGAGAAACTTATTTTGGGATGAAGAGAGTAACATACATATAAAAATTACACCGTTTCACATTCAAGATCCTTGGCCAAAGAAGAAATGCTCAAAGATTAAGCAAAGACCATGTTGGTCCAATCTTCCTCCGGGCTTCACATAACAAAGCTGAACAAGATCACTATCAATGTGACACCCAATGCCATCCACATTCCTCAGGGCTGCAAGCCCTTAAACTCATTTAGAAGTTAAAAATATCATTAAAAACTACACTGAAGAGTAAGCCCAAGATAATGCAAGAGTAAACAACAACAGCAACATTCATTCATCCGGATGGTTCGCTACATAACAACTCATGAACAGCAGTACATGCAGCAGTTTTCTGCAGACTACAACAGTAAGAATGGATGGCATTCTTCGCCATCCACATTCCACAACACCCCCTACATTTGATGTACCCAGCAACACAGCTCTGACCATACAAGGCGACTTACACATTTTGCTGCCGGGTACCAAACATTACACCTACAGTTTTACACACACTTCCTACACTGCTATATCTCTCTCATTTGTATACCAATTGCTATGCTGTGTACATGAATGTACATGTACCTGCTACAAGCCTCAGAACAGCAATAAGCCGCCCGAATGAATATACTGCACCCTGGAAGCTTCAGGGCAAAAAATTCCATCTCTCAGCAGCCAGCTCCAGCAAACACACTTCCATATTCCTTGCGCTGAGGAATGAACAAGCCCCAACTCCACAAAAACCACCAGAAATGCCATCTGATGCTGCAAACGCCCTTCAAAGCTGAAGAAACTCAGGTTCTAGCTATTCTCATCTGGATATTCACAGGTTTGAGATGACAACGGAGTCTTAACCAACTGCATTGCAGCCCTGCCTCATCGGTGGGTAGCCCAGCATTCGCGGTGGAAGATTCGGCAGTTTCTGTAAGTAGGCCGAATGATCAGACATGCTTTTAGGCACCTGAGGCATACCGACAACAGACAATTCTATGTCCGAATGAGCACACTTTTCCTTTCCATAGATGTTGTTAGTGACGCTTCTCATGAAGTCCTTTTTGAGAGAAGTTGTACAGATCTGAGTATTACTATACATGATGAGACCCCACAAGAATACAGCATTTGGCTCACCAATGGTATGATCCACTTGCTCTGAGGGATTTGGGTCACAACCAATGTTAAGGCTTTCCAGCTGCATAACATCAGTTAGGAGAGGTCACAATCAACACTAAAGCTTGCAAACAGCAATGTGAACATAAAACAAACAGGCGGTGAAAAATAACCTTGAGAATAAGGCCGCGGAATCGTGATTTCACCCATCCAACCCAATCACGTAACTCTTCAGTTGTCGGAGCTGAGAGAACTATGCGAAGGAAGTGCTTATATTTTGCAGCATATGGAAACGGCGCAAAAATCCAATTCCAGTCGACATCAACACTACTTGTATCCTGCAAAAGTGACAAATGTGCCATTATCAGCTGCCTATTCATGAATGCAGGCAAGCCTTAAACTTAAGTCCGCAATCGTTTAGACGTGTCATGGATATATCAATGCATTTTGCTTCCGCACAGATCTTACAACATACAGCATCAATTCCTATCAATCCGCATTATTAAAAAAAAATCTTTCTGCAGTCCAATAAGGAAACCACCTACACAGAACTAATCACGCCAGTTAAAGTTGGACTTCCGTTAAGTCATTTCAAAGCAAAAGAGAGATTAAGATAAGATGCCAACAAATCAAATGAAGCAAACATGGCACAATGTTTTTTATCAATGAGTACAGGTCTAACAAGTAACAGATCGATGGGTGTTGTGAAACAATATGGAACATGGCCTATTTAAGTTGCTGGGAACATTATTGTACAAGAATTACAACTTCTGTATTTTTGGACGCATCAAAGAAGCTATCAAATTTTCAAATGGAAAAAGTTAACTCAACAAATTTTTTTAAAAAAAGGGAACAGGGGAATAGAAAAGGACCAGACAAAAGGAAGAAAAAATAAAGAAAATAAAAATAGGTGAGTCAATTGCTTATTTGAAACCTTGACGCATAAAAGCAAACCCAATTCAAGTAACAAAGTGTTATACACTACTTTTAGGTTTAAACTCCATCATGCCAATAAAGCAAGAATAGAAATGGAAGGTATTGGGACATACCAAGCATATTAAACTCATGACTCTTCTACAACTTAGTTGCAATAAAAGTAAATTAAAAATTTCTACATTTATTCTAGAGATATCAAACAGGCAATCAACTTCTTTTGGAGGACAGTGTGGCATAAATTAGGTAGGACCAAATAAAGAATAAATAGGCATACCTTGGTCAAAGATAAACCCCGCCAAAGCTCTTCTTTGATTTTGTTGAAAGTGCTTTTTGTGACATTAGAGGCACAAAATTCTGGTGGATAACAGGGCATCACTATGGGCATGAGAGAGCACCCATCAGGACTCCAAAGAGGTGTTTGGTCATGCAAAGACACCGGAAGAGGCCAAGGCCAGTGAGAAAATATCTCAAAGAACCTACACAACAAAGTATTGGCAGTAGCATTTGGGTGTCTGCGGCAAACATATGCTCCGAGAACCGCCAAATGAATTCCAGCAAAGAAGCCAACTAGCTGAAAATGGCATCATATACAATTGAGGATAGAAGTCAGACAAAAAATAACACTATAAACATACATGAGAAGTATAAATAGAGAAAAGGCAAACCACGTACATGGCAATGAATTCCTCTTTTTCTTGCCCAGAGTTTAAGGCAGCGCAACAAAAGTTGAAATTTCTGCATCAAAACTCCAAAAGTTAGAAAAGAAGAAAATTAATAAAATAAGGAAGAAGGATTTTGGAAACACATCGAATGACACATATAATCACGCCATAGTGCATGCCAGACAAGCAAACAAAAAGTACACAGAATGTGCAAAGACAGCACAGCCACTATCAGCACATGAACAAGGATAATGCCAGAAGCCCGGAAACATAAAAAAAATACAAGGAAGAAAAAGTAAAGAATGGCAACAATGATGTGATGTAATAAATCTACTGAGAGTCTGAGACTATTGTTAGACCTTCATATTTGGAACTAATTGCATGATTTGTCTATTAACACGAACTCCAGATAGACATCTCCAGCTTGCCTCGTCAACTTTCTCTAGCAAACGGGGATCATTTGCATGTATAGCCTGCAGAAAATACAGCTTGTGAGAGCTTAAATTGATCACCAGATATTATGCTCAATTGTTTCTTTCAGCAAATGCTTAAATTTATAATGAAAACTAATGTCGAATCTATGAGAATGAGTGCCCAGCAGAGTGGCTATATGATAATACCCATAAGAACATAAACATAGCAGCTTTCACAAATTGTATCACATTTGACTCGTTTAAGTGAAGAGGCTAAAAGCATGTTAAGATAAATATGCAAAAGTTGATGAATTAAAATTATGGCCTGAGAAAAACTCGGGGAGAATATCTAGGTCACTGTTCACTGCTTTAGTCAAATATATGCCTGGTTAGATGAAATGACACCAAAGATGTGGTCAATAACTCAATATGGCTTATCAAGGTACAACAACGCAAAAATGAAACCATAATACCATATGATCTTATAAGGAGTTAAATATAAATCCTACATATTAGCTCCAGGACATCATTAGGAGTTCTAGATAGTTACGCCAGAGATGTTACAGAAGCTGTTTTGAGAAAGAAGTTGAATAAATTTAAGTCACCTAAGTAAGAAATATAACACATAATAATAGAAAGTATTCAATAAGCACTAATTGAGATAACATGTAATCTAAGACGTGTAATCATCACAATTTTAAGATACTTGCCTCTGCAGCATTGATAACTGGCAGCTGGGCGTATGGAAAATCAACTGACACACCGTTGAATTTAAAGCGCATCAACGGAACCCTAGCACTTTCAATAGAATGCAAGTCTGATACTTCTGGCCTTGCTTCAAGCATTTGTCGCAGGACAACGAAGAAATGATGCTACAAGTTAACACATGGACACCTCATGAGGAGATTGCAAAGGCTCAAAACTGTTAGATAAACGGAAAATTGAGAAATATACTCACTTGTAGTGATGCAATGCAAGGACCAACACAGACTGCATCAATATCAGATTCAGGTCCATATGCCTTCAAAGAGAACAATGCTTGTTACCAAAAGATAAACCACAATTTTATAAGGGGAAATGCATTGGATACAGGGGCAATATTGTAAACATGGAAATCCAGTTACAGTCCTTAAGTTTACCCTGTCTAGGTGCTCACATGCAATTACAAATTGACCAGACCAATATATTCAAACTTAACACAAGAGATATTGCTCGTTAATAATATTCTCGAAAGACCAAACAACTCCAGCTCATGGAGAGATTTAATCACTTCACTGATTCCTTCCACCTTAGGGAATTGAGGAATATTGTATGCATAACTAAAACATCCACACTTCAAAAAGTACATATGATAAACATAGAGATCATATTTAGCAAGATTTCTAATTCCCTGAATGTTACCTATGCGAAACATTTATGAGTTTATGTCTTTCAGGCTATTAAGTATAAACTACTTTGGTGTTGTACATATATACACATGTAACTATGTTATCAGTAGGAGCAGATTCAAGATACAATATCTCTCATATCCATCTTAACCATCCCAAGATCAGTTTCTTTATGCCACATCAACAAACAAGATATTAAGTTGGACATGAACAACTTAAAAATTAAAATATATCATCTCTCAGCTCATAAACGATGTGAAACCTACACATATGATTAACTGGTCAACACGATCCTACACTTATACTCATAATCATACATTTTGACTGCTTCACCAGTAATTGTTTCTTTTGCATCATATCAATAGTGCAATAGTACTGCAGTCAAACAGAGCATCATTCTGCCAAGCACCAAATCATGCTGCTCATTTCCTTAGTCCAGACACTACCAAAGTCGTGATAATAGGTAAAGAAGTTAAGGATGTAGCAACACCCACTCTGCGCTGACCCTAACCTAACATAACACATATGCAGTTTACAAGGCAACAGTAAGTTGCAAACAAACAAAGTCAAGGCTCTCCAGTAGCAACTCACATACGATGATCACCAGGACCCATCGCTGAAATGTTTGAGCACTTACCGAATATCATTGACATTTTTAGGTAACAATGCTAGGATTTTAAATCGAACATGACATAAAACAGATAACGAAATTGACCTTCAAAACTAAAGATTATTCAACTGATATATCATACCGTAGTAGATCAGCCTAGCATCACACCATAATAAAAAAAGGCACAACAAATCGTGCACAGTTTCGAGTTCAGTGCTTACCCCTAAATCATAGGAGCCAAAGGTCAACACCGTGCCTGATGTGATCCAAGGTTTCCCCCCCTGGTTGAACGCCACCATTTTCGCCCAATCCATAACTATCTGCAACAGTCACAACCGGATTACAGGTCGCATTCAAGCCCACATTGCAAGCTGCAAGCTTTGAACCAAAAGACGAACTGCCCTTACCTTGTGGAGTTCGAGTATGACCCTCTCCCTCCTCCGGGTTTCCTCCTCCGAGGGCGAAACCCCCGTATCCTCAAGGAACTGAACCTCGCAAAAAAAAAACAAGTTACCCAAAATTAGGCACGAAACGACAAGATACGACCAAACGGCAAGCGCGCAAGCTCAACGCTTCGGCGGCTCACCTTCATAAGAGAAGAGCTCCGGGAGGAATCCATTTGCTTCATCCTGGCGAGATCGAGGCAGACGACGATCGGGCGCGGTGGGATGGCCCCGGGGGGCGGGAGCGGAGGAGGCCCCCGAAGGTACACCCCCGGCGTGGGCGGAATCGGCGGGGGAGGCGGAGGGCCCGTACCACGCGGCGGGGCTAGGGTTCGGCGCTCGGGCTTGCGGAAGACCGGGCGCCCGACGGGGCGGTCGAGCACCATTGCCGGCGCGGGCCGCCGGTGCCGAGGACGAAGCGGTTTCCGGCGGCCACGCGCGCGGCGTGGGTCGCCGTGCCGTTGGTTGGTCGCCGCGGGGACGACGACGCCGGCGAGGGCCTCGTGTTTGAATTACGGTATACTACTATTATTTTGGGCCAGCTTTGGGGGTTTTGAGGGGAATGGGTGGGAGGATGGTGGTGGAACGGGGAGGGGGAAGACGGGGTTTATATAGAAGACGGCACGGGGTTTGGAGTTGGGCGTTCGCTGCCTCTTGGAAACGGTCCACCAGTTTTCAACCTTGTTTTTTAAGCTTGTCGCTGTCAACAACCTGTTTATGTCAAACATGCCCTTAAATCCTAGACAGCCAAAAGTTTGATGTGTTTAACACCCTTTTTAGCATGGTATATATATTGACAAATAGCAAATGATGATGAGATGCAGACTTTCAGTATTTTTCCGCGCCCTTTTTCTTAACAAATAGCAAATAAGGATGCAGGCTTTCAGTATTTTTTGCGCCATTTTTCTTAACAAATAGCAAATGAGGATGAGATGTAGACTTTCAGTATTTTTCGTGCCATTTTTCTACTTTAGATATATGAGAGGCTTTGCCATTATCTTTTGCATCACATTTTCGCGCCACTTTACATATAAGTATGTGAGAGGTTTACTGTTGCCTTCTATGTCATATATCTCGCGCCACATTGCATGTAAGTATATGAGAAGCTTTACCGATTGTATGCGTCATATCTTTCGCGCCACTTATGTGTAACTATATCATCAAGTTTTGCACGAGATGATGTGTCATCACGCCGCACGCGTTTTAGTCGTAAATGTGTTCTGTCGGTTGGGGGTGAAAACATTTCTTACTGTTGATCATCGAGATAACATTTGCTCCATGTCGTGCCTTCATATCTTTTAGCTCAAATTGTTTAGTTTGAGCATATAGATTGTGGTCCTTTATTAACTAAAGATTTACACATCAATGTAAATTAAATTTTAGGCAAAGATAATCCGCGGTGTATATCCACCATAAATGCATATCTTGTCATAAATTTCACTTATTTCTTGTGCACAATTAATACTCATAGTTAATACTAGAAGAAGTTTCTCGATTACATAGCATGCTACTAGCTATAGGAGATAAATCGCAAAGATATATGTTCTCTCCTCAAAAAAAAATTGCGCAATGTTTCATGCAGTGAAAGAAACAATAGTTGCAAATGTTACTACAACCGACACACCTCGCATGCCAGTGAAAATAATGGCTGCTCTTGTTCTTGGATAGAATATTGCTTCATATCCCGCCAACTTAGTATTATGCTTATTGGTAAGATTTCCATATCAACATATTTCTTCTCATGTATAATTTGCTGCCCTTTTGCTATGTTATGGGCGATTAATTTAAATATATATTAGATCTAGATGGCCGTACTATCTTCTTTTTGTCCATTTTACTAGCACTCTCACTCTTACTTACCAACCAGGCAATGGAACGAGAAGCAAAAAAGAGGGTGTAGTCTTATTAGTATTTTTTTACAGTAGTGTAGTCTTATTTGTAAATTGTTCAGGTGATGAAGTTTTTAGTTGTAAACCAATGTAGAAAATTAATTGTGCCAAGTTATTATTTGCTAAAAAATGAAGCAGAATTGATTACATGAATGTGAGGCAGGATATGACTGCATTAATTCATTGATATATGTAAATATCAGGATACGAATTAATATCAAGTAGAGATAACACCTCAAGATATGTCCGTATTAATTCACTGCATGTAGTATACTCCGTATCATGGCATTTAGTGATAACCCATCAAAATATGCAACATTTATTTGGGAGGATATTTGGTTTGTAATGCCCCTTTACCTACTCAATTTTGGGGTATGTATATTTTAGTTAATGAGAAGACCTAAACTATAGCTGATATTTGGGATGGTCAGACCTTAAAATGTACCTTTAAAAGGATTTTCTCACATGAGATGATGAAATTATGGTTTAATCTAGTCAATGTAGGTAAGTCAATTTCCTTTATTGGTCAAGAGGATTCTCTACTTTGGTAATTTGAGTGTAAAGGGGTGTATTCTTGTAGATCTTTATATGCCATCGTCAAGTTTAGGGGGGGTTCAACTAGTACATTTGCCTTTGGTCTGGCAACTCAAGCCCCCCCCCCCCCTAAGATTTGAAAAAAAATTGCAAAAAAAGGCAATCACTTGTGACAAACTAAGAAGAAGAGGTGTTGCTAAACCTTTAGAATGTATTCATTACAAGGAGATTGAGTCAGTTTATTATCTCTTTTTTGAATGTTTTGTTGTAAGAAATGTGTGGTCTTGTTTTAGATTAGTGTTTGATGTGAATATCCTTGATTTTGAATCTTTGGTTAAATTTTAGATATGCAACGAAAAGAATCTACATTTGAGTGGAGCATTCTCTGATATCCCGTGGGGCCCGTGGAACTACAAAAAAGCCATTGTTTTTAATAGAAGAACTTGGATATCTATGAAACAGGTTTGCGGTCTGGTGATTCGGTACCCGAGGGACTAGTCAAGGTTGTTTCAGGATCTGGAAGTGGTAAATTGTAAAGATTTCAAGAATTGTTACTGTTGAAGCTCAAGGTGCAATAGGAACTAATGCCGGACTGACTGCTTGAAAAAGTTGGTTTGGTACATCTTACGGGGAGGAATCTGCTTGGGAGTCTACTATGGTGGCAGAATCACGATGAATGCTCTTAGCCAAATGACAAGAGATGATGATTTTGTTCACGTGGTTTTCTATGGATGTGATGTTGTGGTTCTTGGTTCTGAGCCTTATTGATGGTGTCCCAGGTAGGGGGTGATGACTGAGGGAGTCCTGGATTAGGGGGTGTTCGGGTAGCCGGACTATACCTTCAGCCGGACTCCTGGACTATGAAGATACAAGATTGAAGACTTCGTCCCGTGTCCGGATGGGACTTTCCTTGGCGTGGAAGGCAAGCTTGGCGATGCGGATATTCAAGATCTCCTACCATTGTAACTGACTTTATGTAACCCTAACACTATCCGGTGTCTATATAAACCAGAGGGTTGTAGTCCGTAGGCAATAAAGTCCATACACAACAATCATACCATAGGCTAGCTTCTAGGGTTTAGTCTCCTTGATCTCGTGGTAGATCTACTCTTGTACTACCCATATCATCAATATTAATCAAGCAGGAGTAGGGTATTACCTCCATCGTGAGGGCCCGAACCTGGGTAAAAAACATCGTGTCCCTTGTCTCCTGTTACCATCCGGCCTAGATGCACAGTTTGGGACCCCCTACCCGAGATCCACCGGTTTTGACACCGACATTGGTGCTTTCATTGAGAGTTCCTCTGTGTCGTCGCCTTTAGGCCCGATGGCTCCTTTGATCATCAACAACGATGCAGTCCAGGGTGAGACTTTGCTCCCCGGACAGATTTTTGTCTTCGGCGGCTTCGCTCTACGGGCCAATTCACTCGGCCACCTGGAGTAGATCGAAAGCTATGCCCCTGGCCATCAAGTCAGGTTTGGAAGCCTAAACTACACAGCTGACATCCACGGGGACTTGATCTTCGACGGATTCGAGCCACAGCCAAGCGCGCCGCACTGTCTCGATGGGCATGATATAGCTCTGCCGCCGAACAGCGCCTTGGAGGCCGCATACGCATCGGTTTCGACCATTGATTCAGAGCCTACTGTGCCATCGAGGATGAGCGGTTGGACGCTGCCTCAGGGGCTGCAGTCTCAGAGGCGATCGAGCCGAACGTTAGCCCCGCACTCTGCACTACCCGTGACTCCGAGGACCCGGACTCCTTCCCGGACTCCGAACCCCCCGCGCCCCTGCCAATCGAATCCGATTGGGCGCCGATAATGGAGTTCACCGCCGCGGACATTTTTCAGCATTCGCCTTTTGGCGACATCCTGAATTCTCTTAAGTCTCTCTCTTTATCAGGAGAGCCCTGGCCGGACTACGGACAGCGAGGGTGGAATACGGACGATGAGGAAATTCAAAGCCCACCCACCACCCATTTTGTAGCCACTGTCGACGATCTAACCGACATGCTTGACTTCAGCTCCGAAGACATCGACGGCATGGACGACGATGTAGGAGACGAACAGGAACCAACACCTGTAGGGTGCTGGAAGGCCACCTCGTCATATGACATATATATGGTGGACACTCCAAAAGATGGAGATGGCGATGGAACAGTGGGGGATGACGCCCCCAAGAAACAGCCAAAGCACCGGCGTCAACGGCGCCGCTCTAAATCCCGCCAAAGCAAAAACGGTGATTCCGGCACGGGAGATAATACTACCCCGGATAGCGCCGAAGAACACCCACCTCAGCAAGATTCGGCACAGGAAGATGGAGAAGCCAGCCCTCATGAGAGAGCGGCAGACCGAGAGGTCGAGGATGATAACTATACGCCTCCCTCCGAAGACGAGGCAAGCCTTGATGACGACGAATTCGTCATACCATCAGACCCCGCCGAACAAGAGCGTTTTAAACGCAGGCTTTTAGCCACGGCAAGCAGCCTCAAGAAAAAGCAGCAACAGCTTAGAACTGCCCAAGATTTGCTAGCTGACAGATGGACTGAAGTCCTTGTGGCCGAAGAGTATAAACTCGAACGCCCCTCCAAGAGTTACCCGAAGCGCAGGCCACTACCCCGATTAGAGGAGGAAGCACCTACATCACCAGCGCATGACATGGCAGACCGACCACCTCGCGGCCGCGACAGAGAGGCCTCTCGGCCCTCCACCCAAGCCATGCCCCGACGCCGCTCAACTAAGGCACGGGAAAATGCGCCTGACCTGCAAGACATACTGGAGGATAAGGCAAGACAAACAAGATCGATCTATGGATCACGCAGGCGCCCTACGGCATGTAACAATGATCTTCACTCCGGATACAACAAATCCGGCCGGGCCGAACACAACAGACATAGCTCTTCTGAGCTGCGTCGTGATATAGCCCAGTACAGAGGCGCCGCACACCCGCTATGCTTCACGAA